AAGGGGCAGACCAGAGATTTCAACATGCAGACCCATTTGGCATTATCATACAAAATACTCGTTTATTTTGTAAAATGTAATTTTTTTATAGCGTATAATTTTTATAAGCTGTCTGTTATCTACTAGATAAATCAATTTAGAGTTTTTAGCTAGATGAACATTTCGGTGTCTAATAGTTTTATTATTTTTCTGTACTTTTGACGTTCATTTTGTACAAAAATGGGAAAACTGACTAAGAAGAAAGAAAAAAGCGAAAATAGATGGATCAGAATTGTCAACGCGCAGACCGATTAATCTTTACCATATAAAATACTTGATTATGCTTTATTTTGGATATTGATTTAATTTTACCTATCATCAGATTTTAATGAACAGTCTATTAGATAAATCAATTGAAATTTTTTAACTTTATGAACCCTTTAAAACTCAACATTTCCCCTAGTTTATTTTTGTTTGTCTGTATTTTTGACATACATTTTGTACAGAAAATAGGTAGTCGTAAATAGGTAATGTAGCCATATTCTACAGACGAATAAAGAAAAAATTGAAAACAGACTGGTCAGAATTGTCAATTCGCAGACCAATTGAGTCTTATCTTACAAAATGCTAAATTTTGAAATATCATTAGTTAGGATCTAGCGTACAATTTTAATTTGCAGTCTTCTAAAGTTAGAAGCTAGATGAGCATTGGTTGGGCCTCGGTTATTTTTGTTCGTACTTTTGTCATCCTTTTTTCAACAAAAATAGTCAATGCTGGATTTCACAATTGAAAACTGTTAAAAAAAAATGATGTGTCTAGTCCCGTAGTTTTTGTTTGTCTGCATTTTTGACGTCCAGTCTGTACAAAAGTAAGGTAAAAAAGAAGAACGTGTTACATAATTTGCCATTATCAGTAGATGCATACAGAAAAAAAGTAAAAACGCTGGCCAGAATTGTCAATTCGCAGACCAACTTTGTCTTATTTTACAAAATACTAAATTTTGAAATATTATTAGTTAGGATTTAGCGTGTAATTTTAAATAACATTCGCTTAATTGTGGCTAGATAATCACTTTGGATCTCACTATTTCGCCGTTTGCTTTTCCTCGTACTTCTATTATCCGATTATCAACAAAAATAGTCAAAGCTGGCGTTCATATTGGAAAACTGTTCCAGAAGAATTACTGAGTTCCTTGCGATGATAAATTTCTTCTAGTTTATTATTTATTTTAGAACAGTCTTTTAGATTAGCCAGTGTAAATGTTTTGGTTAGATAAACACTTTGTGGCTCATCAATTCCTGTAGTTTTTTTTCTATGTCTGTACTTTTGGCATTTTGACGGAGGGTCTGCATGTTGTCTATTTTGTCATCTTCAGTAAATGCAGAGAAAAAAAAGGGGAACAGGCTGACTAGAATTATCAACTCCATGCAAAATTTGGCCTTATCTTTACAATAAATTCGATTATTTTTTTGTTTAGTATGTTTAAAATATTTGTTATCTAACGTATGATTATAATTTGAAGCCTATTTGATAAATTAATTTTAGAGGTTGTGGTTAGATGAATACTGGCTTAATATTTTTTGTTTTTGTTTGTACATTTGGCGTGCATTTTGTACAAAAGTAAGTAAGGCTAACATGACTATTTTGTCATCTAACAAAAACAGGCGGACCAAAATTGTCAACTCGCAGCCAAATTTGGCTTTATCGGTCAATGGACTCGATTTTTTTAATCGAAAATTTTGATTTTTGGTGGTATAATTAAGATATGTGAATTTATATGATGACTGGTTTTGGTTATAGACTTTTGTATAGACTGGTTTGGTGAATGGTATACCAAGGTTGGTTAGTTAGTTTTTACTAGTTTATTTTTCAGTACTTTTGACGTCCATTTTGAACAAGAATCGGTAAAGTTTGAATTCAGCCATCTTCCATGTATCCAGAAAGAGAAAAAACGGAGACCAAGCACATATACTTGGTTAGGCTTTGCGTATATTTAAACATAGTTAACTAACATATGAACTTAATTAACGATATATTCGAGAAATTTATATTTTGTGACTAGATGAACAATTTCGGTTTTAAAAGAAGACTTTATTTTGTACAAAAATAAGTTGAGTAAACAAAGAACGAAAAACCAAAACCAATTTGACCAAATCATAAAAAATAGGCACTTTTAAAATATTTGTTAGGATCCAACGTATTAATTTAATTAATCTATTCGATGATTTCATTTTAGATGTTTTGGCTAGATGAACACTGGGGCTTGACATTTTCCCTGGTTTGTTTTTGTTTGTCTACACTTTGGAATTCCATCTTGTACAAAATAAGTAAAATTGGCTGTCGTGTTTTGAATATTTCTATATTCGTGTTTTGAATATTTCTATATTCAGGGTAGATAAATAAAGAGAAAAAAATGAAAAACTTAAGTTCAATTTTTTCTTATATTGACAAAATAGTCGATTATTCTGTCTAGATATTGAAAATTTGTTATGTAACGAATTTTTTAAATTTATAGACAAGTCAATAAATTAATTATACATTTTGTGGCTAGATGAACAATGGGGCTTAGCATTTCCCCTAGTTTGTTTTTGTTTCTCTGTCCTTTTGACGTTCATTTTGTACAAAAATAAGTTGACTGCCGCGTTTTGAACCATATTCGGTACAAATAGAAAGAAAAAAGCGAAAACTAATGAACGGGATTCATAAATTCGCGACCAATTTGACCAAATCATAAAAAATAGTCAATTGTGAAATATTATTAATTATTTGGAAATATTATTAATTATGAATTTAATTAGTCTATTCGATTAATTAATTTTAGATACTTTGTGTAGATGAACACTCTGGGGCTGAACATTTCCGCGAGTTTGTTTTTGTTTGTCTTTACTTTTGATCCATTTCGTACAAAAATAAGTTGGCTGCCGTGTTTCGAACCATATTCAGTACAAGAAAGAAAAAAGCCAAAATTAACGGACAGGGATTCATAAATTTGCGACCAATTTGATAAATCATAAAAAATAGTCAATATTGAAATATTATTAATTATGGATATAATTAGTCAATTCGAGTAATTAATTTTAGATATTTTGGCTAGACGAACATTCTGGGGCTTAACATTTCCTCTTGTTTGTTTTTGTTTCTCTTTACTTTTGATCCATTTTGTACAAAAATAAGGTGGCTGCCGTGTTTTGGACCATATTCAGTACAAAAAGAAGGAAAAAAGCCAAAATTTACGGACAGGGATTCATAAATTTGCCAAATCATAAAAAATAGTCAATTGTGAAATATTATTAGTTATGAATTTAATTAGTCTATTCGATTAATTAATTTTAGATATTTTGGCTAGATAACACTCTGGGAGTTAACATTTCCTCTTGTTTGTTTTTGTGTCTTTACTTTTGATCCATTTTGTACAAAAATAAGTTGACTGACGTGTTTTGAACCATATTCAGTACAAAAAGGAAGGAAAAAAGCCAAAATTTACAGACAGGGATTCATAAATTTGCGACCAATTTGCCAAATCATAAAAAATAGTCAATTGTGAAATATTATTAGTTATGAATTTAATTAGTCTATTCGATTAATTAATTTTAGATATTTTGGCTAGATGAACACTCTGTCGCTTAACATTTCCCCTTGTTTGTCTGTATTTTTGACGTCTATTTTGTTCAAAAATCGGTAAAGTCGGCTTTCCTGTTTTCAAATTTAGCGATCTTTAATGGATGGGTTATCATTCCGGCCTAGTTTTTCGTTCGTATTGTCGTCTGATTTTCGACAAAAATCGCCATTGCTTTCAAATTTGAAAAGTTTAAAAATAAGATAAAAATAAGAATCCTTGAAATGGCAGATTTTTCTTCTAATTGTTTTCCTCCTCCTTATTTCCCCAGATTATAAAATGCCAAAGCTCTGTTGCCCGTCTGCCAAATTCCCTCTAAAAGCCGCGACTCACTCGAATTAAGCAATTCCACGTGGTCCCTACCTTTCACCCGGTCTCACTAGCAATCAGCAGCCCGGCATTCTGGCTCGTTCTAAAAATACAAAAAAAACCGCCTAAACAAAACCGAGCGGTTGATTCAAAATGTAAATTTCCAAAGCGTTTTGACCTTTCAAGTGACTATTTTTAAAATAAATTACTTCAAAATTGGCAAACCCTTTGAACTGAGGTAAGAAAGAATCAATTAGAGGGAAAAAGGTCATTGGCAATGGCCTTGTTTATAATTAGCTTTCTAAATGACAAACCTTTCTCGTAGAAGATAAAAAAAAACTATTTAAAATTTAACAACAAAAACAAACTAATTAAAAAAGAAAAGGATCAAAATACTACCTTCTGAAGGTGTTTTTTTAATATAAAAATAGTTGAATAGAAATGAAAGTGACTCACCTATTATGACTTCCAAGATTGTGTTTATCCAAAATTTGCTTTTTCCGGATGGTGCCGATTTTTTTTTCGCACTGACACTTTTATGACACAAACACTAGCACAATTTTTTTAACTTTTTTTTATTATTCCGGTATTGTTCACTTCCACGAAGGATTAAAAATAATCTGCAGTCGTAAATAAACCTGATGACCAGGACTCCTCTTTCATTGAATACAATTTGACAATAATAAATAGACAAAACAATAATTTTGACAAAATTTTGACTTTTTTTTTTTTTTTAAGAAGGAGTAGGAATAATAACAATAAATATTTCCCTTATAAATTAATATGATAAAGAATGTTAAATAAATTGACAATTACAGTTGTTTTTTTTTTGAGCACAACAAACATTGATAACCTTCCACCAGGGGAAACGAGGTTACAACTACACATTCACAACAAATTTGACAAGTAAAAAAAGATTTCTGCTGTAAATGTGAGTTGTCAACCTCGATGAGAGATGTCAGGACGGGAAACCGGCTCCGAAACGGAGAATTAAACTGGAAATATTCCAATTCGACCCTTTTTTTCCCACCTAGAGCCAGTGATAATTCGAAAAAAAGCAACAAAACGGGTCTGCCTCCGGTCTGGGATACTTACCAAGCCTTTGCAACGGGAAAGCGGTCGTGGCGGAACTCGGTCACTCGCCCGGGAGGTGGATTTCGCTTCTGGTTCAAACGAAAAACGAGCATCTAACACATTTTCACTGGGAGTCAGAGCATTAATAGTGTCGTCGCCGCCATATTGGATTTGCCCTGAGTCAGGAGCGATGAAGGCGACCGTAACGTAGCAGTGGATTGGAAAGAGAAACGGTTGGGATCGATCGTAGTGATGGGTGGGGGGTTGGATCGGTGGGCGGGGGCCGAGGGGCGGCCGAGCTCTCACGGACACGCGCCACAATTCAAAACTCTCGTTTCGATCCCGGCCTCGGCGAGCCCACCCGCGGCAACCCGCCCGATAAGGCGCACCGTCCAAACAAAAAAAAAATTTATTGGGTTCGTGCAAAATTAATGCAACCTTTGAAAATTTATTTTCGCAGGTGTTTGTCGTGTAAATGATGTAAATAAAGCTAAATCCTCAAATCTAATTTAAGTATTATGATTACTTAGATCGTGAAATGCGGTCTGGTGAAATGTAATTTTAGAAAAACATTTTCTTTCTTCTTTTAAACTAATTCATTCTTGACCGCTGCTCATCACTTTAACAGATTCACCTGTCCGGGAGAGACTAGGTCTAGAAGAGAAAAGGTCACACTTACCGGTTTACGCATAGGCCACACCAAGATCACACATGGACACTTTTCAATGGAGGGTGAGACCACATAGGTGGAGGAATTATCTCCATAGGACTAAGACTGCAAAGAAAGAAACACCTGTTGCACTTTTATTTATGTGATATGTATTAATTATTGGAATGAATATATTAAATAGCGTGAATGGAAGGCATGTGATGGCGGATCTTATACAATAAAAAAAAACTAAATATATAACATAAGCTAAATAATATATTTTAAAAAAAGGCCTCTTCTTGGCATGGAACAAACGAAAAATTAACAATGTTGGAGAAATACTTTTTCTAGCACAACAGTAATCTTTTAACAGGCAATGTTCAGAGATAAAAAACTTAAAACAAAATACAAAATTAACCGAAATGAATCGCAAAGATATAAGTACCTTGAATCTTTTAATATGGCACAAAACTGTAAATTATAGACGTCTTTCTGCCAGCGCACTCCTTTCCGGATAGCCGCTTATCTCCTCCTTTTCCAATGTGTTTGTGATGATCGTCCCCTCTCTTCCACAGTCCTTTCATCCGAACGATCATCACAGGCATTATCCACAATTCCCCCGAGGAATATCGAGTAGTCTGGAGGTTCTGTGAATGAATTGTGGTGGGAATGTAATTTATTAGCATGAATGGAAGGGATTATCCCCAATCACACTGAGAAATATTGATATTCTGGGGTAGTGTGGATGAATCCGTGAATGTAATTTATTAGCGTGAATGAACGGGATTATCCATAATTATCCCGAGGAGAGTATCTAGTTCTCTAGGGTAGAGTTCTCGTCTATTTTAAAAGAAAAACTAAATTAAACTTTTGATTTATTTATTTTTTTTAAAGTGCTATTAAATCGTTGGTGTATTCACTTGTTAGAATTTCAATTTCATCCTCTGACTGAATTGATTTTTTTTTGGGGGGGAGGTTTGTTTGTCTTTTTTTAATACATTTAATTTGAATATACATAAATATTCGAGGAAATGTTTGTAAATATTTCCGTTTCAAAGAATGAAATTCACAAAATTGAAATCCTATAATTTAAAATTAATATTTCGCCATTATTTCCCTCAAGTCATATAATTATGTAAATTTTTTTAATTATTACAATTTAGTCTGTTTGATAAGTTAAACAAAAAAGTTTGAACCGTTCAGCACTGTGGCCATTGAATGGGATTTAAGGCTAAAAATCGAAAAACCATTTACCGAATCAAAATAGTTAACTGTTAATTAAAATCTTAAATATTGCGTATATTATGTTTTTAACTTAAAAAAATTCTCCTGGCCTGCTGAGACTGTGTCTAGGGACCTTACCTTATAAGGTCATTTTATTGCCGGGTTGCGCATAGGCCATACCGAGATGACACATGGACACCTTTCAATGGGGGTGAGACCCCGTAGGTGGAAGAATTATCCCTAGGTCGTAATAACATACTGCAAAGGACTAAGTCTGCAAAGAAAGAAACACCTGTTGTACTTTTATTTATGTGATGTGTTAATTATTGGAACGAACGTATTAAATAGCGTGAATGGGCGGCATTATCCACAATTCCCCAGAGGAATATCGTGCACTCTGGAGGAAAATGAGAGAAAAACACCTCCTTTAAAAATGGAACAATTTATTGGTACATAGAGGATTTAAACTGCGTAAAATGAATAGGGATATTTGTAATTTATTCTTATTCTATTAATTTTAATTAAATTAATCGTAAAAATTAATTATGAACCAAATATTTCATACTTGCATAAAGTGTCGTCCTATTCTTGTCCAATATGGCACCAGAAGAATAGCACCACATTTTATGTGATTTTATTTTAATTAGGTAACCAATAGAAGCTTTTTTATTTTATTTATTTATTTGTATCGTGTTTTTTTGGGGGGATAGCAAAATGCATTGCTCTTCGCCGGCACTTTTTGCTTTTATTTTCTTTCGGAAACCGATTCTTTCTTTTCTTTAACATATTGCTTGCCTCTCAACCTACCACAGTGCCTCGTCAATTCTGGATAAAATAACACTAATAAAAAACAGAAACAATCATAAAATGAGGGACAAGATAAAACATAGTCTGGTTAGCCTTCACATTACCCTATAACTCTACTACCCCATATAGTCTCCCATATTCTCGAGGTAATTGAGGATAAGCCCGACCATTCGCGCTAACAAATTACATTCGGGCATCGCAATTCATTCACAGTACCCCCAGAGTACTAGATAATCTTTGGGATAATTTGGGATAAGCCCCTTCATTCAAACCAACAACCTTTCACACTACACAAAGAGTGCTCTATATTCCTCAGAGTGATTGGGGATAAACCCTTCCATTCATGCTAGTAAATTACATTCATTCAAAGAATCTCCAGAGTACGCGATATTCCTCCACGATATCGCATAAATTAAGGTACAACAGGTGTTTGGTGAGAACTTGAATTAAAATGTTAATCATCAATATCAATCAAAGTCTTGTTTAATTTCTTAAAAAAAATTCTTTTTTGTTGCTGTATTTTATGAATTCGTATAATTATTATACATATATATATATACATAAAGTGGAAGATTTATAGGCCGACAAACAGCTGAGGTCATCGCCGGCCGTCCGCTTGTATTCCTTCTCTTTCTTGTCTTTCTCGCGTATTTTGTATTGAACTGAAGCCATTTGAGCATCTCGATCTGGTTACTGACTCTCTGCTTTTACTTGTATATTAAGTCGTTATTTTAAAAAGCTAGCCTCTTGTTAGTACCTCAGGTTGTCAATTTAGGTATAGGTGCACAACATACAATACATAACATATATATCGCCACAAACATAGAAGTCTGGTCACATTCACTCCCCCAGAGTACTCGATATCACTCGTGGCGGGGTTGAACCCACTACATTCGCGCTAATAACTTACTTTTACTCTCCAGACGTCACACACACTCACCCCAGAGTACTCGATATTCCTCGGGGCGGGGTTATAAGCAACCCCTTACTTTCACGCTAATAAATTACATTCATCCTATTATATTAACATAAACACCACACAAGCAAAGCACAAACACACATAAACTATATACATTTGAAAATCCCTATAGCCCTGAGGTACTCCAGGTATTCCAAAATATTGCCTATAAACGTCGAGCCTTCTACAATTGAAGGTGCTCTACTGTTACTCTATCCTTGCATAATGAGCACATATGCGGCGGCTTTCCTGCTAGAAGGTGCCCGTGCGTATAATTATTATTATAATTACATAAAAATATAACTAATTATTTTTTATATAATTATTATAATTACATAAAAATATAAATAATTAATTATAATTTATTTCATATACATATCTTAATGTTTATACCTTTTTCTACCAAAATGAATAATTATTGCTATATTTTCACAAAATGAAATCTGATTTCGTAGCGTTACGTAAAAATACCTAATTGCCTCCAAGCACTAAGTCAATCAAGCGACAACTTGGTAACTTCATAGTTTAAATAATAATTAATGTACGTGTAGAAATGTGCGGTGATTAGTGACCGTTAATCGATAACTATTTAGAAATCGTGAGATGCGGTCTGGTGTGATGTACGTTTCAGAAAAACTCACACTAGATCGCATCTCACGATTTCTGAATAATTATCGATTAACGGTCACTTCACCACACATTTCTACACGAGAAGAACGAAGGGACTCTATGAACAAATTTCAACTACATATGAGCACGCAGCTAAAAGTATTCTGAAGGACGCCAACAATGAGAAGAAACTGCATCGGCTATCAACCAGAGAACTTTTTTGCTGAAATGCAGACAACACAAAATGTTCACTCTCAACACGACACGCAAGAATGGTACAATTACACAGAAGACAAACACTTTGAGCCCTGAAGATGACCTCAATAAAGATCGAAACGTTGGCACGATAAAGAAAATGTTTTTTTGAAACCTACATCACACCAGACCGCATCTCACGATTTCTGAATAATTAATTTAAGTGTATATTACGGCCAATGTTGAACGGATAAAAATATAATTTACTTCACTAAAGGTGTTAACGACTTTATAACTCAAATGATATACTCCAAAAACATTTTTTTCTTATTTGAGACGGCATCTAATGAAATACCCTTGGCAAATTTTGCCGCCGGTCTTGTGATATCGAATTTTGTCCTTTTCGATAAAATTTTCATTAAATATTTCAGTCCAGTCGGTATTAACGTGAGCTTAATTTTATTTGATAATAAATTTATAGCAGCGGATGAGTTACAACGTCCATAAGACTTAAATAAAGGCCAATTATCCCTTTACCTGTTTAAAATTGACTACAATATACAATCAATACAGGAGTGATTTAATTTCTTTTGGTCTTTTTCGACCTCATGCTGAGAGAAGAAATGTTGTAGAGCAGAGAAATATTGTAACCAATATTTATTTTTATTAGGTTTCGTGGTCCGCTTGACCAAATAAACTCCTTTCAATTAATTAATCTTTAATTAAGGTTTTGGTCGAGATAAAAAAGTTAGTGTCACAAGCGGGATTCGAACCCACGACCTTTGGCT